TTGCACAAACTTTGTGAGCTAGCAATTCTACTTCTGAATTATATTTACCCTGAAAATATAATTGCTTTTTTTTTTAATGATTTTTGTATGAGTCATGGTTCCGAATTTTACTTTATGTAGAGATCAGCATACTTTTGATTTAAGGTGCCAGATAGAAAATAGTTTAGGCCACACAATCTCTGTGGCAAATGTGGTAGTGCAAAAACAGCTACAGATAATGAGAAACAAGTGGGTGTTGCTGTGTTCCAATACCAATAACATTTTATTTACAAAAACAGCCTGTGATGAACTAGTCTCTGCTCTGTTTAATTACCATGTAACCTATTTAAAAATGAAATTTATTTTCCTATAGAAAATAATGTTCTTCCTCATAAGCCTCCACTTACCATATTCAATGTTTTAATATTTAGCTTAGTATAATAATTTTAAAATTATTTCAGGTAATTTCCAGTATTTAGGTAAAAAATCTTCAATCTTTCTTATGCCTGTTTCCTATTCCTCCTCTACTCAAAGATGTATTCGGGAAAGTGGTTTAAATGACCTCCTGCCTATACAGTGAAAGAGTCCTCAGACCAAGATGCCCTAAGATCCACTTTGGGCTTGGATGCAGAGCCATCCATTGGGATGTGTTTGGACTACTCTCATCTTTTGCTGCATTCAAACAAAGTTGAAAGCTTTCACAGTTCTCTGGGTGCACTGGGCTCAGCTGGGTGGTTCCAGCCTCAGATCTTTCGGGATTGCAGTTGTACTAGAATCATCTGTTGACTTGACAAAGCTGAATGTCCAAGATCTCTCAGTCACATGACTGATAACTGATGCTGTCCATGGATAAACACTTGCTTTAAGTTGTCAAATGGAGAGCCCACTCTTGGCCTCTCTATGTGTTGGGTTTCTCATAACATGGTTGCTGGTATTCTAAGAAACCTACATAGAAGCTTGAACACTTCTAATGACTTAACCTCAAGAAATCCCAGAACATTACTTTTACCAAATTCTACTGGTGAAGCAAGTTCCAAAGGGAAGCTCAGATTCAAGGAGAGTAGAGGCACAGGCTCTATTTCTTAACAGAAAGGAAAAAGAGATAAAGATGGTGGCCATTTTGGAAACAAGCTACCACATTATCATTGTCATTCTGCTGGCATTTATATCTTTAGTTTTATAAAATATAAATTCCTGATTTCTATTGAAGCTTAATGATCTCTCCCTGCTTACTTAATTGATGCTTGGTTCTAGTTCAAATTCTAGATCTTCCTGATTTTGTGTTATCTCCATCAGACAGCCTACCAAATCGGTCCTCCAGCTTTGTTGTAGGATCATCTTGCCCCTGCCATGCAGGATCCAGGCCACAGAGGAATTAAGGAAAGCTAAGAAAAGCAAACTAGAATTCTCTCCACTGCACAGTGCCATCCATTAATTGTGCAGGGCTCCTAAATGTTTGTAAAGGACCAGATGAAGAAGAGCTGACTCCTGAACTCAAAATGTTTTGTTTTGTTTCCTTTTTTTTTTTTTTTTTTTATTCAGTCACGGACACATTTTGAACCGATTTGGGTTAAAGTTAAAAAAAGAACTACTGACCCACCCATCTGACTACTTCTCTTTCCATTGCCTTCCTTTCTTCTCTTTCCACAGTCATCCAACACAAGCGTATTAAGTTTATCTTCTTAACTTCACACTCTTCTTCTTCCTGAATCCAGCCTTGTGGTTAAACCTTTGTGAGGGTAAATATCATCTCTGAACTAAATGAAAAAATACATTGTTGACTAAGTTTATTACATATTACACCAAAATAATTTCAAGCAGTTTCTTTCCATAGTAAACATGGTTTTCAAACCAATTTTCTTGCTAAAAACATCTTTATTCTCTTTTTCTGTGTCCATATACTGCATGTCTCAGATTCTGAGGTGGAAGGCTGAGACTGGATTAAAGGAGATAAATTTTAAAATAACTGGAAGTAAGAAAATGTCTTAAAACTGAGGAAAGATTAAATAAATTGTGGTATAACTATTTGGTGAAACATTTAAAGATGTTTAAATGTTTGCTTATAAAGAAAAAAGATGGAGATACTTGGTGAAACATTTAAAGATGTTTAAATGTTTGCTTATAAAGAAGAAAAAAGATGGAGATACTAATTATTCAGTGTTGAGTCTAAGAGTCTACATTTGCAATGGAATGACATATCCTTTTTTTAAAATGATATCTACTGTTTCCACTTGTGCCTTCTTCATTTATTCATATTTCTAACACTGTAGTCTTAATTAGGATTGATTCTTAATACTCAGTTTTTGTTCTTTTCCAGTGTCTTAATAATCTGACTTGCTTCTATGACACTGACATTGCTTCTTCTATGAAGAAGATTTTAAGACTCACTCTGCACTCTGGCTTCTCTTGTGTGTTTCAAACTTTGTAACTATGTGCCTGCAATTCCTTTTGAAAATCCCATCTCCTAGACCAACTTGTGCCAAATCAAAGCTATCATATTTCCATCAAGACTGACACCTCTTTGTTCTTTTCCTATTTCTCTCAATAATAATCTATTTCCCCATTTCCCAGGATGCATGGTCTGTAATAGTTTTTGACTCATTTTCTCTTGCTCTTATTCTCGATCTCTGTATCTGTATCACAGACACTGTTTGTTGCCTACCCAGAGCCACTTCCCTGCCTTATTCTTGACAATAGAAATTTGTTTCTTGACAATAAAAATTTGTGGTTTTATTTTTTTTAAGTATCAGAGGCCAACCTGTCATGTCTCGAGGTCTAAATCTTGATAATTATAACACAGTAACAGTAATTTCACTTTTCTTGCCCATGGCTGATTAGGGTTGAGCATGCCATGCAATCTGGACACTGAATTCTGAGGAATGTCTGCTGAGGAGTATTCTGGGAAAATTGTCTTCATGCTTAAAAAGTGACAGAAGGAAGGGACATTTTTTAGTTTTTGGTAAAGGGAATGTACTGTGTGCATGTATGTGTATATATACATATACTCATTTATATACATATGCTTTTTAAAGTTGTGTGATGTGAGAGAAACTACTTAATTTCTGTAAGTTCCTACATCCATGAATTCACAACATTATCCAAACATTTAGTGGTTTCACATAAAAGAAATAATGTATACAAAAGTTTGAAAAGGTAAAGCACAATATCAATAGAAGATTTATATTATAATTTTGAGTGTGATGATTGATTGAGCCACAATTCCATTGCCACTACTCACTTACAGAAGTATATTCTATCATATTTGGTGGCAGAGGTCTAAGTGCTAAGTCTAGCTGCATTATCAGTAATCTCTAATACACACAGATTAATATTTATCAGAATTTCCCTTTTTTAGAAGTTTAGTTTTCTGAGAGAATAGTTCTTTTATTATACTTCAGTTTCTGAGGTACATGTGCAGAATGTGCAGGTTATACAGGTATACACGTGCCATGGTGGTTTGCTGCATTTATCACCCCATCTACATTAGTTATTTCTTCTAATGCTCTCCCTCCCCTAACCCCCATCCCCTGCTATCCCTCCCTTAGCCCCCCACCCCTCGACAGGACCCAGTGTGTGATGTTCCCCTCCTGTGTCCACGTGTTCTTGTTGTTCAACACCCACTTATGAGTGAGAACATGCGGTGTTTGGTTTTCTGTTCTTGTGTCAGTTTGCTGAGAATGGTGGTTTCCAGCAAAAGACATGAACTCATCTATATTTATGGCTGCTTAGTATTCCATGGTGTATATGTGCCACGTTTTCTTTATCCAGTTTATCATTGATGGGCATTTGGTTGGTTCCAAGTCTTTGCTATTGTGAACAGTGCCACAATAAACATACGTGTGCATGTATCTTTATAATAGAATGATTTATAATCTTTTGAGTATAAACCCAGTAATGGGATTGCTGGGTCAAATGGTATTTCTATTTCTATATCCTTGAGGAATCGCCACAGTATCTTCCACAATGGTTGAATTAATTTACACTCCCACCAACAGTGTAAAAGTGTTCCTATTTTTCCACATCCTTTCCAGAATCTGTTGCCTCCTGATTTTTTAATGATCGCCATTCTAACTGGTGTGAGATGATATTTCAATGTGGTTTTGATTTGCATTTCTCTACTGACCAGTGAAGAAGAGCTTTTTTTTTTTTTTCATTTTTGTTGGCTGCATAAATGTCTTCTTTCTGAGAACTGTCTGTTCATATCCTTTGCCCACTCTTTGACGAGGTTGCTTTTTTCTTGTAAATTTACCTTATTTATAGATTCTGGATATTAGCCTTTTGTCAGATGGGTAGATTGCAAAAATTGTTTCTCAGTCTGTTGGTTGCTGGTTCACTCTAATGATTGTTTCTTTTGTTGTGCAGAAGCTGTTTAGTTTAATTAGATCTCATTTTTCAGTTTTAGCTTTTGTTTCCATTGCTTTTGGTGTTTTAGTCATGAAGTCCTTGCCCATGCCTGTGTCCCTAATGGTACTGCCTAGATTTTCTTCTAGGGTTTTTATGGTGTTAGGGCTTATGTTTAAATCTTTAATCCATCTGGAGTTAATTTTTTATAAGGTATAAGGAAGAAATACAGTATCAGCTTTCTGCATATGGCTAGCCAGGTTTCCCAATACCATTTATTAAATAGGGAATCTTTTTCCCACTGCTTGTTTTTGTCAGGTTTGTCAAAGATCAGGTGGTTGCAGATGTGTGGCATTACTTCTGAGGCCTCTGTTCTGTTCCATTGGTCTATAGCTTTGTTTTGGTACCAGTATCATGGCTGTTTTGATTATTATACCCTTGTAGCATAGTGTAGTTAGGTAGCATGATGCCTCCAGTTTCTTCCCCCTTAGAATTTTTGGCTATGTGGGCTTTTTTTTGGTTCCTTATGAAATTTAAGGTGTTTTTTTTTTTTTTCCAATTCTGTGAAGAAAGTCAATGGTAGCTTGATGGGGATAGCATTGAATCTATAAATTACTTTGGGCACTATGGCCATTTTCATGATATTGATTCTTCCTAATCATGAGCATGGAATGTTTTTCCATCTGTTTGTGTCCTCTCTTATTTCCTTGAGCAGTGGTTTGTAGTTCTCCTTGAAGACGTACTTCACATCCCTTGGAAGTTGTATTCGTAGGTATTTAATTCTCCTTGTAGCAATTGTGAATGGGAGTTCATTCATGATTTGGCTCTCTGTTATTGGTGTATAGGAATGCTTGTGATTTTTGCACATTGATTTTATATTCTGACACTTTGCTCAAGTTGATTATCAGCTTAAAGAGATTTTGGGCTGAGATGTTGGGGTCTTCTAAATATATAGTCATGTCATCTGCAAACAGAGACAGTTTGACTTCCTGTTTTCCTAATTGAATACCGTTTATTTCTTTTTCTCCTCCCTGATTGCCCTGGCCTGAACATCCAACACTATGTTGAATAAGAGCGGTGAGAGAGGGCATCCTTTTCTTGTGCTGGTTTTCAAAGGGAATGCTTCCAGTTTGGGTCCATTCTTTATGATATTGGCTGTGTCTTTGTCAGAAATAGCTTTTATTATTTTCAGATACATTCCATCAATACCTAGTTTATTGAGAGTTTTTAGCCTAAAGGGCTGCTGAATTTTGTTGAAGGCCTTCTCTGCATCTATGGAGATAATCATGTGGTTTTTGTCTTTGGTTCTGTTAATGTGATGGATTATATTTATTGATTTGCATACGTTGAAGCAACCTTGCCTCCCAGGGATGATGCTGACTTGATCATGATGGATACGCTTTTTGATGTGCTGTTGGATTTGGTTTGTCAGTGTTTTATTGAGGATTTTCATATCAATGTTCATTAATGTCCTGAAATTTTCTGATATTTCCTGATTTGTCCTGAAATTTTCTTTTTTAGTTGTGCCCCTGTTAGGTTTTGTTATTAGGATGATGTTCGTCTCATAAAATGCGTTAGGGAGGATTCCCTCTGTTTCTATTGTTTGGAATAGTTTCTGACGGAATGATACCAGCTCCTCTTTGTACCTCTGGTAAAATTTGGCTGTGCACCTGTCTGGTCCTGGACTTTTTTTGGTTGGTAGGCTCTTATTTGCTGCCTCAATTTCAGACCTTTTATTGGTCTATTCAGGGATTTGACTTCTTCCTGGTTTAGTATTGGGAGAGTGTAAGTGTCCAGGAATTTATTCATTTCTTCTAGATTTTCTGGTTTATTTGCATAGAGGTGTTTATAGTATTCTCTGATGATAGTTTGTATTTCTATGGGATTGGTGGTGATATCCCCTTTATCATTTTTTATTGTATGTATTTGATCTTAACTAGTGGCCTACCTATTAGGTCAATCTTTTCAAAAAACCAGCTCCTGGATTCATTATTTGAAGGTTTTTTTGTGTGTCTCTATCTCCTTCAGTTCTGCTCTGATCTTAGTTTTTTTTTTTCTCTTGCTAGCTTTTGAGTTTGTTTGATATTGCTATCTAGTTCTTTTAATCATGGCATTAAGGTGTCAATTTTAGATCTTTCCTCATTTCTCTTGGGGCATATAGTACTAAATTTCCCTCTACACCTGGCTTTAAACGTGTCCCAGAGATTCTGGTATGTTGTGTCTCCTGGTACACTGTGTCAATCTCCTGATTGACTACTGGATAAATAATGAAATGAAGGCAGAAATAAAGATGCAGGTTGTTCAGTTTCCATGTAGTTGTGTGGTTTTTAGTGAGTCTTAATCCTGAGTTCTAATTTGATTGCACTGTGTTTTGAGAGACTGTTTGTCATGATTTCCGTTCTTTTGCATTTGGTGAGGAGTGTTTTACTTCCAATTATGTGATCATTTTAGAATAAGTGTATGTGGTGCTGAGAAGAATATATATCTGGGGATTTGGGATGGACAGTTCTGCAGATGTCTATTAGGTCCTCTTGGTCCATATCTGAGTTCAAGTCCTGAATAACCTTGTTAATTTTCTATCTCAATCTGTCTAATATTGACAGTGGGGTGTTAAATTCTCCCACTATTATTGTGTGGGAATCTGAGTTTTTTTTGTAGGTTTTTAAGAACTTGCTTTATGTATCTGGGTGCTCTTTTATTGGTTGCATATAAATTTAGGAAAGTTAGCTCTTCTTGTTGCATTGATCCCCTTTACCATTATGTACTGTTCTTCTTTGTGTCTTTTGATCTTTGTTGGTTTAAAGTCTGTTTCATCAGAGACTAGGATTGCAAACCCTGCTCTTTTTTGCTTTTCATTTGCTTGGTAAATCTTCCTCCTGTTCTCACTACACACAAAAAGTAAGTAAAAGGTAACTATGTGAGGTGATGGATATGTTCATTGGCTTGATTGTGGAGAATATTTCACAAGTTATACATATATCAATTCAAGGTATACAACTTAAATAGAGTAAATACTCTTTTTATTTGTCAACTATGCCTCAATGAAACTGGGGAAAGAAGGAGCAAAGATATGGAAAATTTGAATCAATCACTAGACTTGATTTAACTGGTAAATATTGAACTCTATGTTCTAGAAACAATGTGTCAACATGTTTTTCAAATGCTTTTGGCGTATTTAGGAATTACACTGATTATATTCTACTCAAAAAATAATTCTTAAATACTCTATAAACAGTAAATATTTTATACACAATGAGATAGTAGCTAGCATGTGCTAGTGGATATTTCAATACTAGGTCACAACAAAAAGATAAAGTATTTTGCAAAATAATTGCATTGAAAGTAATTAAAACTGTTATTGGAATACTATCAATAACCATGAAAAATTTTATTTTAAAATGTTTTATATGAGAACAAAAGTATAACTGGGGAAATTTTGTACCCTTAAATGCTTTTATTTTTATTTTCAATTAATATTCTTTCTCTTCTTTTTTTATTTCAATAGTTTTTGGTGTATAAGTGGTCTTGGTTACACAGATAAGTTCCTTAGGGTTGATTTCTGAGATTGCAGTGTATCTATCACCTAAGCAGTGTATATTCTACCCAATATGTAGTCTTTTATTCATCACCCCTTGTCCAACCTTCCCTCAATGATCCCCAAGTTCATTATAAAAATATGTAAGCTTAAGTAAGATTGTAAAAGGACAACACAGTAAATCTTACGAATCTGGAAAAATGAGTTTAAGGAAGGTACAATTATGATTAATAAAATTAGCAGAAGTAATCATAGTGTGATTTACTCAATAACTAAAATTTTTAAAAGATCCACACAGAGCATCATCAGTGAAATAAGAGGGAAAATACAGTGTTCCTAGAATTATAAATAAGATAGAATCTATATCATAGTTACAGAGACAACTATCTATCTATCACCTATCTATGTCTGTCTATACATATAAATAGATAGATGGGGGACACAAAATGGAAAACACTAGGAGTCCTGCACTTGCTTCTGTTGTAGAAAGTTTCAATAAACTGTAACATTCACCCCAAACACCAAAAGGAGACTGATAAACTATAATATAGTTTTGAAAACCCAATCGAGGATTGAGGACACAAAGAAATTGAAATAAACTACATGACAGAAACCGAGAAGCCTTTCATAAAAAGGAAGAGACTACTGCTCTCATCCTTGGCAATGCAGAAGAGGAAGAAATCTGCTAGGAAGTGGTAAGCCAATGGAATATCCCTCAGGCTGCCAGTTGACTAAGTATGAGCTGACATGGTAAGACTCTGGAAGCACCTTTCCAACTCATTTCCAGGTCCCTTCAAAGAGCATTTGGAGAATTGGCTAAAGGCTGAGGGCAGTTAGAACAAGAGGGCTGAGAGGGATTCCCCTTCCCCAGTAATGGAGGTGAGGGACAGATGAAGGGAGCTAAGAGGAACTCATCATGAGCGCTCTGGGCCAAAGATGGGACAGAAAGACTTAGAAACATTCCCAGCCTGTCAGTCATTTCAGGCTTTCAGCTAAAAAACATTAGGAAAACAGAACATGGAAGCTGAGGGATGAACCTGGCATGTAGAAAGGAGGGAGCCTATCTTGTCATAGTTATAACCCTACCACATGGGCTTATAGTTAGATAAAAGCTCAAAAGCAGTATGCTTAAGATTCACCCATCTCATTGCACTCAAGTTATTCCTTAATGTAAAACAATATTTTTGTAGGAAGAGGACTTTGGTGGGGGTATTTTATGCAGAATGAAGGGAAGAGCATGCTCAATCCCCAGAAAACATATGTTTTAACATTTTATTTTTGGGCAGGAGGGGGAGCTGATTTTTTATTATACTTTAAGTTCTAGGGTACATGCGCAGAACGTGCACGTTTGTTACACAGGTATACACGTACCGTAGTGGTTTGCTGCATCCATCACCCCGTCATCTACATTAGGTATTTCTTCTAATGCTATCCCTCCCCTAGCCCTGCACTCTCTAACAGGCTGCAGTGTGTGATGTTCCCCTCCCTGTGTTCATGTGTTCTCATTGTTCAACACCCACTTATGAGTGAGAACATACAGTGTTTGATTTTCTGTTCTTGTGTCAGTTTGCTGAGAATGATGGTTTCCAGCTTCATCCATGTCTCTGCAAAGGACATGAACTCATCCTTTTTTGTGGCTTCATAGCATTCCATGGTGTATATGTGCCATATTTTCTTTAGCCATTCTGTTATTGATGGCCATTTGGGTTGGTTCCAAGTCTTTGCTATTGTGAACAGTGCTGAAATGAACATACCTGTGCATGTGTCTTTATAATAGAATGATTTATAATCTTTTGGGTATATACCCAGTAATGGGATTGCTGGGTCAAATGATATTTCTACTTCTAGATCCTTGAGGAATCACCACAGTGTTTTCCACATGGTTGAACTAATTTACACTCCCATCAACAGTGTAAAAGCATTCCTATTTCTCCACATACTCTCCCACATCTGTTGTTTCCTGATTTTTTAATGATCATCATTCTAACTGGCCTGAGATGGCATTTCAGTGTGGTTTTGATTTGCATTTCTCCAACGGCCAGTGATGATGAGCTTTTTTTCATATGTTTGTTGGTTGATGGGGTTGTCTGATAGGGTTGTTTGGTTTTTATTTCTGTAAATTTGTTCAAGCTTTTTGTAGATTCTGGATATTAGTCATTTGTCAGAGGGGTAGATTGCATAAAATTCTTCCCATTCTGTTTGTTGCTGGTTCACTCTGATAATAGTTTCTAGCACTGTGCAGAAGCTCTTTAGTTTAATTTGAACTCACTTGTCTCTTTTGGCTTTTGTTGCCATTGCTTTTGGTGTTTTAGTCATGAAGTCTATGCCATGCCTATGTCCTGAATGGTATTGCCTAGGTTTTCTTCTAGGTTTTTATGGAGTTAGATCTAATGTTTAATGTTTAATCCATCTGGAGTTAATTTTTGTATAAGGTGTAAGGAAGAGGGATCCAGTTTCAGCCTTCTGCATATGGCTATCCAGTTTTCCCAATACCATTTATTAAATAGGAAGTCCTTTCCCCATTGCTTATTATTATTTTTTTTTTAGTTTGTCAAAGATCAGATAGTTGTAGATGTGTGCAATGCTTTTGAGGCCTCTGTTCTGTTCCATTGGTCTATGTCACTGTTTTGGTACCAGTATCATGCTGTTTTGATTACTGTAGCCTTGTAGTATAGTTTGAGGTCAGGTAGTGTAATGCCTCCAGTGTTGCTTTTTTGCTTAGGATTTTCTTGGCTATGTGGGCTCTTTTTTTGGTTCTATATGAAATTTCAATTTTTTTTCCCAATTCTGTTAAGAAAGAAAGCTTGATGGGGATAGCATTGAATCTATAAATTACTTTGGGCACTCTGGCCATTTTCAGGATATTGATGCTTCCTAACCATGAGCATGGACTGTTTTACCTTTGTTTGTGTCCTCTCTTATTTCCTTGAGCAATGATTTGTAGTTCTCCTTGAAGACGTCCTTCACATCCCTTGTAAGTTGTATTCCTAGGTATTTAATTCTCTTTGTAGCAATTGTGAATGGGGTTTCATTCATGATTTACCTCTCTGTTAGTCTGTTACTGATATATAGGAATGCTTGTGATTTTTGCACATTGATTTTGTATTCTAAGATTTTGCTGAAGTTGCTTATTAGCTTAAGGAGATTTTGGGCTGAGATGATGGGGTCTTCCAAATATACAATCATGTCATCTGCAAACAGAGACAGTTTGACTTCCTGTTTTCCTAATAAATAACTGTTTATTTCTTTTTCTTGCCTGATTGCCCTGGCCTGAACTTCAACACTATGTTGAATAGGAGTGGTGAAAGAGGGCATCCTTTTCTTGTGCTGGTTTTCAAAGGGAATGCTTCCAGTTTGGGTCCATTCTTTATGATATTGGCTGTGTCTTTGTCAGAAATAGCTTTTATTATTTTCAGATACATTCCATCAATACCTAGTTTATTGAGAGTTTTTAGCCTAAAGGGCTGCTGAATTTTGTTGAAGGCCTTCTCTGCATCTATGGAGATAATCATGTGGTTTTTGTCTTTGGTTCTGTTAATGTGATGGATTATATTTATTGATTTGCATACGTTGAAGCAACCTTGCCTCCCAGGGATGATGCTGACTTGATCATGATGGATACGCTTTTTGATGTGCTGTTGGATTTGGTTTGTCAGTGTTTTATTGAGGATTGTCACATCAATGTTCATAATGGATATTGTCCTGAAATTTTCGTTTTTAGTTGTGCCTCTGTCAGGTTTTGATATCAGGATGATGTTGGTCTCATAAAATGAGTTAGGGAGGATTCCCTCTATTTGGAATAGTTTCTGACGGAATGGTGCCAGCTCCTTTTGTACCTCTGGTAAAATTTGGCTGTGAACCTGCTTGGTCCTGGACTTTTTTTGGTTGGTAGGCTCTTATTTGCTGCCTCAATTTCAGATCTTTTATTGGTCTATTCAGGGATTTGACTTCTTCCTGGTTTAGTATTGGGAGAGTGTAAGTGTCCAGGAATTTATTCATTTCTTCTAGATTTTCTGGTTTATTTGCATAGAGGTGTTTATAGTATTCTCTGATGGTAGTTTGTATTTTTGTGGGATTGGTGGTGATATCCCCCTTAATATTTTATATAGCATCCATTTGATTCTTCTCTTTTTCTTCATTAGTCTGGCTAGCGGTCTATTTTGTTGATCTTTTTAAAAAACCAGCTCCTAGATTCATTGATTATTTGAAGGGTGTGTGTGTGTGTGTGTGTGTGTGTGTGTGTGTGTGTGTGTGTCTATCTGTGTCCTTCAGTTGTGCTCTGATATTAGTTATTTCTGTCTTCTGCTAGTTTTTGAATTTGTTTGATCTTGCTCTTCTGGTTCTTTAATAATGACATTAGGTGTCAATTTTAGATCTTTCCTCATTTCTCTTTGGACATTTAGTGCTATAAATTTCCCTCTACCCCCTGCTTTAAATGTGTCCCAGAGATTCTTGTACATTGTGTCTCCATTCTCTTTGGTTTTAAAGAACATCTTTATTTGTGCCTTCATTTTATTATTTATTTATCCAGTAGTCATTCAGGAGCAGGTTGTTTAGTTTCCTTGCAGTTGTATAGTTTTGAGTGAGTTTCTTAATCCTGAGGTCTAATTTGATTACACTGTGATCTGAGAGGCTACTATGCCTTCTTTTGTATTTGCTGAGGAGTGTTTGACTTCCTGTTATGTGTTCAGTTTTAGAATAAGTGTGATGTGTTGCTGAGAAGAATGTATATTCTGTGGATTTGGGGTGGAGAGTTCTAATAGATGTCTATTAGGTCTGCTTGGCAAGATCTGAGTTCAAGTCCTGGATATCCTTGTTAATTTTCTGTCTCATTGATCTGTCTAATATTGACAGTGAGGTGTTAAAGTCTCCCACTATTATTGTGTGGGAGTCTAAGTCTATCTGGGTGCTTCTGTATTTGGTACATATATATTTAGGATAGTTAGCGCTTCTTGTTGCATTGATCTCTTTACCATTATGTACTGTTCTTCTTTGTGTCTTTTGATCTTTGTTGGTTTAAAGTCTGTTTTATCAGAGACTAGGATTGCAACCCTTGCTTTTATTTGCTCTCCATTTGCTTGGTAAATCTTTCTCCATCCCTTTATTTTGAGCCTATGTGTTTCTTTGCACATGTGATGGGTCTCCTGAATACAGCACACTAATGGGTCTTTCCTCTTTATTCAATTTGCCAGTCTGTATCTTTTAATTGGGGCATTTAGCCCATTTACATTTAAGTTTAATATTGTTATATGTGAATTTGATCCTGCCATTTTAATGCTAGCTGATTGTTTTGCCTGTTAGTTGATGCAGTTTCTTTATAGTGTTGATAGTCTTTACAATTTGGTATGTTTCTGCAGTGACTGGTACTAGTTGTTCCTTTCCATGTTTAGTGCTTTCTTCAGGAACTCTTGTAAGACAGACCTGGTGGTGAAAAAATCGCTCAGCAGTTGCTTCTCCATAAAGGATTTTGTTTCTCCTTTGCTTATAAAGCTTAGTTTGGCTGGATATAAAATAATTCTGGGTTGAAAATTCTTTTTTTTTCAGGATGTTGAATATTGGCCCCTACTGTCTTCTGGCTTGTAGGGTTTCTGCAGAGAGATCTGCTGTAAGTCTGATGGTCTTCTTTTTGTAGGTAGCCATTCTCTCTGGCTGCCCTTAGCATTTTTTCTTTTATTTCAACCCTGGTGAATCTGACAATTATGTGTCTTGGAGTTGCTCTTCTCGAGGAGTATCTTTGTGGTGGTCTCTGTATTTCCTGAATTTGAAGGTTGGCCTGCCCTGCTAGGTTGGGGAAGTTTTGAATAATATCCTGAAGAGTGTTTTCCAACTTGGTTTCATTCTCCTCATCACTTTCATGTACTCCAATCAAAAGTAGATTTGATATTTTCACATAATCCCATATTTCTTGGAGGCTTTGTTCATTTCTTTTTGCTCTTTTTTCTCTAACCTTGCCTTCTTGCTTTAATTGAGCTGATCTTCAACCTCTGATATCCTTTCTTCCACTTGATCAATTTAGCTATTGAAACTTGTATATGCTTCATGACATTCCTGTGCTGTGTTTTTCAGCTACATCAAGTAATTTATGTTCTTTTCCACACTGGTTATTCTCATTAACATTTTGTTTAACCTTTCTTCCAGGTTCTTAGCCTCCTTGCATTGGATTAGAACATGCTCCTTTAGCTTGGAGAAGTTTGTTATTACCCACATTCTGAAGCCTTCTGTCAATTCCTCAAACTCCTTCTCCATCTAGTTTTGGTACCTTGCTGGTGAGGAACTGTGATCCCTTGGAGGAGGAGAGGCATTCTGGTTTTTGGAGGTTTCAGCCTTTTTGCACTGGTTTCTTCTCATCTTCATGGATTTATCCACCTTGTTCTTTGGAGTTGGTGACCTTTGGATGGGGTCTCTGAGTGAACATTCTTTCTGTTGATGTTGAAACTATTAGTTTTCCTTCTAACAGTCAGTCCCCTCTGCTGCAGGTCTGCTGGAGTTTGCTGGAGGTCCACTTCAGACCCTTCCTGCCTGGGAATCACCAGCAGGGCCTGTAGAACAGCAAAGATTACTCCCTGTTCCTTCCTCTGGTAGCTTTGTCCCAGAATGGTACCCACCAGATGCTAGCCAGAGCTCTCCTATATAAGGTGTCATCTGTCAGCCCCTGCTGGGAGGTGTCTCTCAGTCAGGATACACAGGGGTCAGGGAACCACTGTAGGAGGCAGTCTGTCCCTTATCTGAGCTCGAATGGTGTGCTGGGAGATCGGTCTCTCCCTTCAGAGCTGCCAGGTAGGGGCATTTAAGTCTACTGAAGCTGTACCCACAACCACCCCTTTCCCCAAGTGCTCTGTCCAAGAACGGTGGATTATAAGTTTATAAGTCTCTGATGGGGTGCTGCCCTTTTTCAAAAATGCCCTGCCCAGTGAGGAGGGAGTCTAGTGGCACAGTCTGCCTGCAGAGGCCTTGATGAGGTGCATGGGTCTGCCCAGTTGCTGTGTAAACTTCCCAGTGACTTTGTTTATACAAGCGAGGTTACAACTACCTACTGGAGCCTCAGCAATGGCAGATGTCCCTCCCTCCACTGTGCTCGAATGTCACAGGTTGAGCTCAGGCTGCTCTGTTGGCTATGAGAATTTCAAGCCAGTGGATCTTAGCTTGCTGGTCTTTGTGGGGGTGAGATCTGCCAAGCCAGATCACTTGGCTTCCGAGCTTCAGCCCCTCTCTTCACGGGAGTAAGCAGTTCTGACTTGCTGGTATTCTAAGCTCCATTGAGGTATGAAACAAACAAAAATACTGCTGTGGCTAGCTTGGTGTCTTCACAAATGGTAGCCCAGTTTTGTGCTGGAAACCTGGGGTGCTGGTATTGTAGGCACCTGAGGGAATCTCCTGGTCTGCGGGCCGTGAAGACCGTGGGAAAGCTGGGAAAAGTCCCTAATGGCTTCTCTTGGCTAGGAGAGGGAGTTCCCTGGCCCCTTGTACTTCCAGGATGAGGTGACACCCCACCTTGCTTCAGCTCATCCTCCTTGGGCTGCATCCCCTGTCTCACCAGTCCCAACGAGATGAACCAGGTACCTCAATTGGAAATGTGAAGATCACCCACCTTCTGTGTTGCTGTCACTGGGAGCTGCACACCAGAGTGGTTTCTATTCAGCCATCTTGCCTGCAATCCTGCTTTAACATCTTGCAATACAATGTCTTTCCTCAAAGATTTGTATAGAAGAATGTTGGCTTATTTTAACAGAATATTTGAAAGCTGCCTGAAAATGAAACAATATGTGATTAGTTGAATAAATTCTGATACTTTTTTTTTTGCTGCCAAACTATATAGTTATTATACTTGATGCTATACATGTATATTTAGCTATAAAACATTCTATATTGTTCATGCCCACACAAAATCCTGCAAGTGGATGTTTGTAGCAATTTTATTTATAATTGCCAAGACTTGGAGGCAACCCAGATGTATGGCAGTAGGTGAATGGATAAACTGTGGTACATTCAGGCAATGGAGTATTACTCAGCACTGAAAAAAAAGTATCAACCCATTAAAAGAGATGGAGATAAATTAAGTGCTTATCGCTAAGTGGAAGAAG